GAATCATGAGTACCTTGCCTCCTCCTTATCCTGCTTACACATTCCATTGTGACCATCGCCACAACCCACAAACACTACAATCACCAATCAGAAAGATCCCACCCCATCCCCATCATCATCGCCCGTCTATTCCTCATGATTGCCATCCTCATGCCGCCCACTTGCCCCCACCACCCTCCTCAGAACTCATCATGATAATTCCGTTCCCTCTTCGTCGTGATCATCATCGTCGCCACTGCCGCGTTCATCCTCGGAATCAGCATCGCCATCATCAGCAGCATCCCTGCCACATCCTCCTTTCGCCCTTCTCAGAACCCATCGGCCCCGCCCCTCCCATGCTGCCTCTTCAGCACTCATCGTGCTTACTCCGCCTCCTCTTCCTCCTCCCCGCGGCCATCGCCACCATCGCTTGCGCCGCAACCGCCACCACCACAACCATCATCATGTACATAAACAATATCCTCAGCATCATCGTCATAAACTTCATTACCGCCATCATCGTCATTCCCACCGCCATCATCGCCATCAACCGCACATCATTAACAACAACATAGTCGCATGCTCCCCATCCTCCTCATCATCATCACGTTCGTCGCTGGCATCACCGTCGCCATAATCATCATCATCGTCCCCGCTATCGTCACATTCACCCCCCATATCATCATGATTATCTGCATCAATCCACGCATTCCCAGTACCATGATACTGACATACCTCTTGGGTTCATTATTGTTTTCCCTCCGGGCCCCCCACTGCGTAACATGCGTTGCATCAGTGCGCTCTTTGCTAGCACGCACTGTCGGCAATGACTCTGCTCCTGCTACTCCTGTGTACTGCGCGCCGCACCTCACTGCAGCTGCCATAACCACGACTTCTTAATACAATACGGCTGCCACCACCACGACTACTTCTACCTCTTCTACTACTACCACTACCACTTTCACTACTACCACTACCACTACCACTACTACCACGACTACTAGTGGAAAAAAAGAATATTGACATACGCGCTGTAGTGTGTGGAATTTATTCATTTCAGCTCATACTACAAATTGCATATGGACGGCGCGCTGTGCCACGATACAGTGTGAAGTGGTACTGCAATGGGCTGAGCACTGAGCGCGGCTCTATCGCTACTGCTGTGCTGTGTGCTACCTTCTCGATCATCCACCCTCAGCCCTGTGTGCCGTCGTCCCTTTCCCTTTTCCTCTTGCCCTGCTCCTTCCTGGGACTTTCCGCCTCCCCTTCTTCATCCTCCTCCTCCTCCTTCTCCTCCTCCTCGGCCTCCCTCCTCTCTCCTACATCGATCCTCCTCTTCCCTCCCGCTTGGCCTCCCGACCATGCTTTCCAGAGCCCGGGAACTTCTCTCAACGCTTTCCCCCCCGCCTTGCAAACGGATTCCTTTTGTGGTGGATCCCAGAGGCATTTGATTTGTGGCGGATTGCAAATTGATTCCTTTTGCGGTTGCGCCTTACGAGAGAATTTCTTTTTTTTTGGGGGCAGATAGCACAGGGATTCCTTTGTGGTGCATTACAGAGGGATTCCTTTTGTGGCGGATTACTATTGGAATCCTTTTGTGGGGGATTACAATTTAATTCCTTGTGCGGCAGATTACAAGTTGCTTGCTGTTGTGGCGGATTACACATTGATTCCTCTTGTGGCGGATTACAAGGGGATTCGTTTTGTGGCGGATTACAAAAAGGAATCTTTCTGTGGCGGATTACAACGGGGATTCCTTTTGTGGCGGATTTCGCTTAAAACAAATCGGTGGCATAATTCAAATTGATGGCTTTGGTGGCGGATTACAACTTGTTTCCTGTAGTGGCGGAATATACATTGTTTCGTGGCGAATTGCACATCGATTCCTTTCGTGGTTGATTGCAAAAGGATTCCTTTTGTGGCGGGTTATGAAATGTTTCCTTTTGAAGCCAACTATAGATGGATTCCTTTTGTGGCGGATTACAAATTGAGTCCTTTTGTGGCGGAATACACATTCATTCCGTTTGTGGCCAAGTACGCATGTATTCTTTTTTGTAGTGGATTACACCAGGGTTTCTTTGGTGGGGAGCTACATCAAAGGAAACCAGGAGGAGAAACAACAACATTGAAATCAATGAACACTGTGAGAAGTGTTGTGTTTCCAATGTTTTGGGTGTCGAAAGCAACGAACAATTGTGAACACATAGCGTTTTCAACATCCAGAGCTCCAACACGTTGTTTTATTGTTTTCTTGTGCAACATTTCTTGATCCTGGAGCAAAGCACGCTGTAACATACAACGTTTTCAGCTTTTGTAGATGTACAACGCTGTGTTTTACAATGTTTTTTGTTCCGCACACACACACATATATATATATATATATGTATATATATATGTGTATATATATATATATATATATATATGTGTAAAAACACCAACGCTGTAAACCACAGCGTTGCTTTATCCACGATTGCTGAACGCGCTATAGTTTGCGATGCTTTCGGCATCGGGACAACAAACATTGTAAATCAATTACAACGTTTTGGAGCTCTCGATGCTGGGAACGCTTTGTTTTCACAGTTTTTCTGTGCTTCCGACATTCAAAGCATGGAAGACACAACACTTTTCACAGTTTTCATGGATGTTCCAATTGTTGTTTTTTCTTTCTCTCCCTGGTTTCCTCCTGAGTAGCTTTTCAAAATTTGTAACCTCCCACAGAAAGGGCGTCCGTTTGTATTCCGCCACAGAAGGAATCAATGTGTAGTCCGCCACAAAAGGAATTCTTTTGGAACCCGCCACAAAAAGGAATCAATTTGTAACCCCCCGCAAAAGAAATCCATTTTAAATTCGCAACACAAGGAATCCTTTCGTCAGCGGATGAGGAGAGAGAGAGAGAGAGAGAGAGAGAGAGAGAGAGAGAAGGAGAGGCAACGAGAGAGAGAGAGAGAGGGAACGAGGAAAAGAAAGAGAGATAATGAGAACACGAGACAGGAAAACCAAATTGTACACACACGCACACGGTTCTACCAACCTTACGGGGAGGGGGGGGGCGGGGGGGTATAATGTAACGCCTCCCCCCCGCCGTGTGGCTCTGGCACCACAGCCGCGCCCGCGCGCACGACGACGATGAGCGACGAGCGACGGGGGGCGAGCGACGACGACGACGACGCGACCAGTATGTAGGTGGCGACCTGCCCCACAGCGCCTGTTTACACCAGTGCTCGCGTGCACCACAGCGCGCGTGTACGCCACAGCGCCTGCGTACACCGCAACAGCCGTGTGCGACGCAACGCCTGTGTACACTACAGTGCTTGCGTGCACCACAGCGCCGGTGTACACCACAGCGAATGTGTATAACACCGCAGCAACCATGTGCTACACAGCGCCTGTGTACACCACAATGCTTGCGTGCACCGCAGCGCCTGTGCACACCACGGCGCCTGTCTACACCACAGCATCTGCGCGCACGCAGCGCTGGTGTACACCACAGTGCTTGCGTGCAGAGAACAAGTAGAACGAGAATGTAGGTGAGGATCTGCTGCGGAACGCTAAACGTCACTCCAGGAAAGTGTCGAAAATAGAATGCGACGTTGTTCTTTTCTCCCTCCTCCTCCTCCTCCTGCTGTTCCTCCTCCTCCTCCTCCTCCTCCTCCTCGTATGCGGATTCCTATGCGGACGCCGATGCGGATCCCGATGCGCGCGGTGGCAATTCCCAGAGCGCACTGGGGGGTAGGGGCGTTACGTTATAGGGTGGGGGGAAGGGGGCGGGGGGCAGGGGCTATAATGCCCATTATGCCCCAAGCAGTAAAGAAACACGCTCCTTGTAAATTACATGGTGTCCGCGCTCCGAGGACTACGATCCCTTGTAAATTATACTGTGTCCGCGCCTGCAGGGCCAGGCTCCCTTGTCAACTACGCTGCGTCCGCGCTCCCAAGGCCATGGTAAATAAAGCTCCGGCCGCACTCCCAGAACCATCTGGGCGCCCTGGGGCGCCCAGGCCTATCAAGCGAAGCGTTTCGCCCGAGACATCGTCAGGTGTTCGGCACGCAGGGCGCGCCATCCTCGAGCGGGCACGCGAAAAGCCAACATTCCTTTTGCAAAACATCCTCCAAATTCCCGCGGGCAGGACGCGCCATCCTCGAGCAGGCACGCAAAAAGTCAATTGTTCAATATTTGCTGTAAAGTCGCAGGCTTTCCGAACCTCGCTATTTAGTTTGGATTTTGCGCAAAATGCCCCGCACCTTTTCTTAAACGAAAGAAGCCGAGGGGGTCTGCGGACACCGTTGGACAACGATGATCCGAGATGGGGGGGGCACATTTTCCTTGAGCGGGCACGCCCGAAATGCCTTTATTTGGTTATCTATCGAACGAGAATTCGCCAGCCCGTCTCAACATGGCACTGGGGGATATAATACCATCCTAAAAGAGAGCCCTGGGCCCCAGCCCTTTCAGGGACAAATGGCTTCCTGGGTGATGTAGTGCGGGGTCTTCCGACAGGATTAAAAAGATTGCCAAGATGGAAAATTCCTGAGAGGCTCTGGGCTTCGCTCATCCTCCTCTCCATCGCCTTCTTCCTCCTCGTGGTCCTCCCTCCCCTCCTTGTTCTATTCCTCGTCGTCGTCGTCGTCCTCCTCCTCCTCCTCCTCCTGGTCATTGGTGTCGTCCGCCTCCTCACCCTCGTGTTCGCCTTTCTCTGTTTCCTCTTCCTTCCTTCTCCTCCTCCTCCTCCTCCTCCCACTCCTCCGTCCGCTGCCTCCTCTTACCACACCACCGCCAACCGCCTTCCCCACCTCACCTCACACCCCTCGTCCCCTGCCTCCCTCTTTCCGTGCCTTCTCCACCTCTCCTCTTCCCCTCCGTGTCCTCTTCGTCCTCCCCTCCTTCGTCTGTTCCCCTCTCCTTCTCCTCCTCCTCCTCCTCCTCCTCCTTCGTCTCCTCCTCACCCTGCCTCTCCTGCTCCTCACCACCGCCTGACTGACATTCAAGACGGGCACAGACACGGCCAGCGCGCGGGCCACGCTTACGCGCTGGTGGCCGCCGCGAAGAGCTTCCTGTACTGGTCCATGCCTATGCGCTTGGGCTCCTGGCTGGCCTTTGCCTCCGCGAGCCTCTTGCTCTCGAACTTCTCCGTGTTGACGATCAGCGTGTTCTTGTCGTCCTTGGTCCTGCTCCAGCCCTGGTCCTCGCAGGCTGTCTGGGAGGGCTGCGAAGGGTGCCCCAGTGGCGAGGGTGGCCTGGGGAACCACCCCTTCTCCCCTGCTTCATGTTGTGGGTAGAAACTAAAGCATACTCTCAGTGTGTCGTGTCTCTCGAGTGTTGCAACAAAGGTGGGTGCTCCAAGAGCGCGGTGCGCCTCATCGTCTTCTGCCTTTTGCCGCCCCCCTTGTAGGGTTCGGGCGAAACATGCCCTGGTCGTTTGGCAGGGAGGCGCGAAAAGGCAAACCGAAGTCGAGAAGCTGGCGAATAACCGAACCAACAAAGAACTTATGCGCACATGCATGTATTTTCCAGCAGCCATGTGCAAAACGTAATACGTATTTGCCAGCGCCGACCCCCAATCGGTGAATCCTCGCAGTGTGACGTGTGAGCTGTGTGGTGCACGCTATGTGGTGTACGCTCTGCTATGTAACCGACGTGGTGCAAATTAGGTGTGGCATGCTGTGCGGTGCAAGTTCTGTGGTGGGATATCTGAAATGTGAGTTATGCGGTGTGAGCTATGTTGCGTAAGCTATGCGATGCAAGCTGTGCTGTGTCAGCTATGGTGCGTAAGTGATGCGGTGCGTAGTATGAGGTAACAACTATGTGGATAGTGCTGTGTGATGTAAACTGAGTGGTGTATTGAATTATCAAGAACACGAAACTGTAAACCAACAACTCGCGCAAACATCCCACCCTCCCACCCGCAATGTGTTGGGCACCGCCCAATCGGCCATGATTGCGATTACTGGTTGGCACTTGCTAGCGCGTCACTGCGGCCGTGCTGGCGCGCGCACGCTCTCGCACAAAACGGCCAACTAGTTTGGCATAGCTAATGCTGCCGCGATGGCACTTACCGATGTGACCTTCGCAGCGCGTCTCAAAGTCCGCGCTGGCGCGCGAGCATTTCGGCGCGGGACAATCACTCGGGCGGGCGCGATATCATGATGACGTCGACGACGGCGGCAACGATGATGACAATATCGATAGTGGTGGCGATGATGACGATGATGACGGCAAGGCCAATGACGGCCCCGATATTGGTGACGACGGTGACGATGATGTCCAAGCGTCGGTGATGCAAAGGTGATTGTGCTGATGATGGCGGCAAAGGTGGCGATTGACGATGACGATAAAGGCGGTGATGCGATGGCACTGATGAGGGTGATCGGGAATTGCGCGCGCAGAAATCCAAGAAGTCTGGCAAACATTTTGTTGACATACTTCTCGTTGTTCATGGTTTTTGAAACGCTCTATCTTGAAATGCGTCGGACAGCAACGGTGTTGGACATACTTCGGCACGCGCGCACGTGGCTGCGCGCGTATTTGGGCCCGCGTGATTTCATTCGATACGGATTCGTGCACTGGGCGCATGCTCGACCAACGCGGATGCACCGCGTAGTGACATGAAAATGCGAGATCTGGTCGAAATTGATAAACTTATATGGTTTCCAAAGATGCCAGCAAATGTGCGCGGGCAGAAACTTTGCACACTTTTTGATGACAGACAACTGCTTTTTTAGCTTTCGTGTTGGAGTGCTTGAAACGACTGTGATAGGACTTTCTCGATGTCCTTCGTTGCAACGGGCTCCTGAAACATGATCTTTCTAACTGAACGAACGTGCTTTTTTTGTGTTTGTCAAGGATGACGGGGGGAAACCCGCACCAGCTTGGTGGTAAGAGCGTCGGGCGTGCCAATCTCCAACGCCAATTCACCATCAACGCGAAGAACTGAGCCCCGAACTTGCATGAGCGTGCAAGAATACGCGAAAGCTCGAGGTAACCTGATATAGAGGTCAAGTAGTAAGCCACCTGCACAGAAACATGAAAAGCTGACCAAACGCGCACGAATCGGCGAAACACGTTCGCGTTGCAACACCAACGCGGTCGACCATGCGACCCAGACACCTGCACCGCGAAACACCGTGCCAAACCGTGCCAAGGACAGCAACGTTGCACCCGTTCGAACATTAAACACGCATCAAACGTCGTGCCACTGGTCGACGGTAAGCCGTCCGCGTTTCTGTCCAAACGCCGTGATCGTTGTCATTGGTATTTCACGTGTTAGTGTGGTCGCGCAGCGTCTAGCGTATACCCAGGAGTTTTTTGCGCCATTCGCACTAAGCTGTTCTTCAATGCGCGGTGGCCACGGCGACCGAGGGACAAGTGGAAAGAGATGCTGTCCACGAGGTCGCAAGCGACGCCACAAGAAGGAACGGATAATGCAACAAGCGGGTCGGCGGAACTTGAGGTAAAGCCCTGCGGGCACAGGACGCGTTGAAATCGAAAGCATGCGCTCGCAGTCTCGCGCGGCAAACGCCACCGAAGCGAACCGCCGTGACGCGCTGGATTAATAAAGCGTCAAGGCGATCGCAATGGATTAGAGGGCGATGCCCCCGCAGCGCGCACAAGTCTACCAGCGAGCGCGGGAACTCCGACCGCGCGCGCCGCTCGGCCCTCGCCAGTTGGGCCCAGCGGCGCCTCACAGACGCGCACGGGCCGCAGAAGAGCGGCTACCACACGGGCAGACACTGGCCGTGCTCGGCGACTTGCGCCAGCACCGCGCGCAGACAGCCCCGCCCCCAGATGCCGCTCACACGCGTGCAAGACGGCGCTTGACTCGACATCGAGCGCCGCCCGATCACCCGACGATACGTTCCAAGTGCAGAGCGCGGTGGCGCCTCCCCAACTTGGAGCGCCGACGCAAGTTCGCCGCGACGACCGCCCTCGGGCCCGCGGGGCCCTGCCATGAGCCCCAGCATCGCGTGCTCCGCCGCGCCGCGCCGCCCGTGGGCGCGCGCGTTCGCGCCCGCGGCGCTCGAGGCGCAGTGGCGCGCGCAAAGCCGCCGCTCCCGCAACGCAGCAACTCGCGCAGAGCACCGGCAATTGCTTTGGCGATTGCGTTCTGGAGCCCCGCGCGTTTTCAACCATGGCCCCGTGCGCCCGCGCAAGTTCTGAAAACGCGCGCGCGCCGTCGCCAAGTAGGCGTTTCGTAGGACCAAGCGAACATCAGCGCGTATTGCTCAAGAATTGCGGCGTTGAGCGTGTCCTCGCGCAACCTCCCTGCAAGCCGCATTCGCGGTGAGTAGTCGGCCCGGGCCGAGGCTGAAGGGCAAGTGGCCGCGCCACTTGAGTCTCTCCTAGGCCTGTCTTGGAAACCTTTTCAGGCTCTTGGGGCCCTCCGAGGCTGTCCTGGAGCCATCAGAAGAAAATCGAGGAGCCCTTCAAAATAGCAACTGAATAAGTAAAGTCCTGATGTTTTGCATCGAGTTTGGTAATCTGGGGGTGCCCTGGGGATCAAGTGTGAGCTATTCGGGTGGTCTTGATGTCGTTTGGCGTCTTGGGCGGAATCTCCGGGCGCACCCGGTATACATTTTCAAATTTTGGATTCACCCGATGCGAACCGTATAGGCAAACACACCCAGACCTGTTACTACCTGGTGAAAATCACCTTGTGTTAACCCACCTAATGACATCTATCCGAATCGATGCCACCCAAACTAGTTCCTCACCTATTGGTCCCATTGCTAGTTCGCACCGTGATCGGTCTTTGTTCTGTGCGTGGTAGTTCCCGCTGTAACAGCCTGGCTCATGAGCCACTTGATAGGATCACCCGGGGACGTTCAATTTTTCTTGCCCCGTCTGCGTTGTACTGTGTGCGCCTCACCCAACAAGATCGACTCACGAATCCCGAAAGGAACTTGGGACGTGCCAGGGGACGTGCCATGGGGACGCACCGCAGGACGTGCCAAGGGGACGCGCCATGGAACGTCCAGTGCCACGAGACGTGCCAAGGGACGCGCCGCGCGACGTGCCAGGGGGACACGCCGCGGGACGTGCCAGGGGACGTGTCAGGGAACGTGCCATGCGACGCGCCAGGGGACGTGCCAGGGAACGCGTCGGGGAACGTGCCACGGGACGCAGCACGGGATGCGCCTTGCATCGCCTGGAGCATCTTAGGATCTTCGCGCCTCGTTATCAGTCGAGATGTCGAGGGCCACGCGATCCCTCGCAAAGTACGCTGCGTCTGCGCTCCCTGGGCTACGATCCATCGCAAATTCCGCTGGGCCCGCACTCCCAGCGCCACGATCACTAGTAATTGATGCTGCGTCCGCTACCCCAAGGCCACGATCCCTCGTAAATTGCGCTGCGTCCACGCTCCCAGTGCCACGACCCTATCGGATTCGCGCTCGACCCATTGTAAGTTACGCAAGTCTGCCGAACATATGCCGAAGGTACTCTGAAGGTACGCCGGACACACTCGTCGAAGGTACGCCGAAGGTGCGCTGAAGGTACGCGGTCTCTGTATTGTTTTTAAGAAAGAATCGTTACTGAGGGTACGCCGAAGGTACGATGAAGGTACGCGTGTCCAAACCAACGAATGTACGCTGAAGCTACGCCGAAGGTAGACCGGAGCGGGTGGGGGCAAGGACAGAGACGCCACCGCCCCCGCTCACCCGGACCATCGCTCCCCCAGACCCCGCGGACCCAGCAAGGGGGCCACACGCGAGAGACCCAGAAACGAGCGCAGTACGGCGAGGCCGCGCTCCCAAGCAAGCCCATCTTCCTGCTCCAAAAAAAACGCGGCTTGCCGCCCTCCCGCCCCCCCCCCCAGACACTGCGGAAACAGAAACGGGCCACGCACGGCGGCGGACCCCCGAACGAAGCCATCACGACGGGACCACGCTCCCAAAACAACGATCCCTGGTAGAATACGCTGTTCCCGCTCTCCCTGGGCCACAGTCGCTCGCAAACCACGCTGCGTCCGCGCTCCCAAGATCACGAGCCGTCCTACATCACGCGGCGTCCGCGCTGCCAAGGCCGCGGTCCCTCGTGAACTACGCGGGAGTCTCACGCTCCCAAGGCTCCGGTCGCTTGTGAATGCAGGGCCGCGGCCCCTCGTACGCTTCACTGGGCTCGCGCTCCCAGGGCAACGACCCCTTCGCAAATTACGCGGGGCTCGCGCTCTCGAGGCCATGCTCCCTCGTAAATTCCGCTGCGTCCGCGCCCCCAGGGTCACGATCCCTTGTCAGTTGCGCTGTGTCCGCGCCCCCAGGGGCGGCATCCCTAATAAATTACGCTGCGTCCGCCCTCCTGGGACAAGATCCCTAATAGACTACGCTGCGCCCGCGTTCCCAGGGCCACGATCCACCGTACATTTTGCTGCGTCTGCGCTCCCAGGGCCACGATCCCTCGTGCATTACGCTGCTTCCGCTCCCGCTGGGCCACGATCCTTCGTAAACTACGCTGCGTCCGCGCTGGGGAAAAGCTGTCACTGTCCAAACTCAGCTGGCGCTTGTACCTGTCAACGTTCGCCTGGTAAGTTTCGTCCGCCGATGAGCGGTCTTCCCAGCAAACTGCACCACAATGCCTGTTCATATCGCGTACCTCACTCGGATGTACTTGACTGCTTGTTCACTCTGTAAGAACGCAGTAACCATCTGGTGCGAGATCACCCAGAAGCGTGTGCAGCTACAGCGTCCAAAACTTGTACGAGATGAGTCCACCGAACTCTCTCGACGGGGTTCGACAAGACCATCTTGTGGCCGTTTGAGAATCATCGTTACGATGCTTTAGCGTGGCGTGGCCGTAATGAACTCTCTCGCGGCGGCCTCGGGCATCTTTTTGCAGCACGCTTTCGCGAAACAGTAGCGGCTAGTATCAAGGACTATTGTTATATGTGCATCAACCGGGAACAACCATATCATCTCATCCATCTTCCAATTCCTCCAAGATTCCTCCTACTTCTCCCGCTTCCTCCGACGGGTTGGCGCGAATCTGGTAACCCACGTGTGTCAATCGGGGTAGCAGATCAACGCGCCTAAATGACGCCTATCGCTTGCGTGGCAAACTCGGGGGCGGCAGTAGGAGGGGAAGAGGGAAATGATATGGAGGGGGAAAGAGAGAGAGAGAGAGAGAGAGAGAGAGAGAAAAACAACAGAAGAGAGAGCGAGAGACAGTTGCTCTTTTCGACGGCTTGAAGTTATTCAGCGGAGCGCCCATCTACGACGCCTCCAAGGTCAGTGTGCTGTTTTGGCAGACCTCGACACCCAGAGCTGATCTGCACGGGCACTAGAAAGCATGATCTCGCCACTCCTCTCCAAGGCCGTGCACGGCGATAGAAAAATCCCACCAGTCCTTTGGCCTGAGTGGTCTGATGGAGCTCCCTGCCACAACCCCTCCTTCCCCCGCTCCGGCGAAGGAGTTACCCCTCCCCCTGCCCCCTCCCCTGGGTCTGGACGGGGCGTTTTACGAGGGGTTTGAGCGTCCAAGATGGCCCAAGATGGCTCCCAGAGGGCCTCAGAGAGCCCAAGATGGAATCCAAGATGCCTCAAGAAACCTCAAGATGGTTCAATATTTCCTCCGACGCACATCCAAAAGGCCTCACGCCGGCCCCACAGCGGTTTTAAGTGCCCTCCAGGCCCTCCAAATACACCCCGAAGGGCCAACACCCTTGAACAACCTAAGGGACATCCGTGTTTTGTTTGCCTCCTCGTCTTTTCGCTTCCGATGAGGTCTTGAGGCCTCAAGATGACCCCAAGATGGTCCAAGAGAGCCCTAAGCGGGGCTCCAGACAGCCCCAAAACGGCCTCGAGAGCGCCCTAAGATGGCCCCCTACAGGCCATCTGGGACCTTCCTAGGGGGGGCTAAATTGATTCCCCCTCCTTCTTTGATCGATCTCCTCCAAGATGGCCCCAAGAGAGCCCAAAGGGGCGCTAAGCATTACCAGGAAGGCGCCAAGCATCACCAGGGAGTCCCCCAAGAGGCCCCCACGAGAGACCCAAGAAGCTCCAAGAGGCTCCTCCGAGGCTTCAAAGACGCTCCAACAGGCCCCAAGGACCACCAAGGCCTCTCCTTCTCCTTCTCCTTCTCCTCCTCTTTTTCCTCTCTCATTCGGGACAATCTGCTCTGATGTTTTTTCTGAACCCGTTCGGGAAAGCACTGGCAACGAGTGACACATCCAGGGCCACATGCAACCTCCTTCTTCCCCTCCCCCTCCCCCTCCCCCTCCCCCTCCTCCTCCTCCTCCTCCTCCTCCTCCTCCTCCTCCTCCTCCTCCTCCTCCCCCTCCTCGTCCTCGTCCTCCTCTCCCATTCGTTTTTAAATTCCGTTCAGGGAACTATTGGCAGCACAGTGGTGCAGGAACCCCTCCCCAATGACATAACCGTGGCAAGTCAACATTTGTCGAAGAGGTCCACAAAAAGACCCCCATAGAGCCAAAACGGCGCCGGGTTGACCTGTTCAACCCACTTTTTGACGACTCATAATTACAACAAATGTTCCCGCCCTACCCCGCACCCCCCGAAGGGCATCTAAGGCGGCTGTCGCACTGTATGCTTCTACGCTGCCCTCCTCAAGGCAACTCACCTGGCGATCGTGTGTGAATAGGCTGGTGGGGATACGTTTTTTTTTTTTTTTTACAGCCGCGGGCGGAAGCGCCAGCGGCGGCGAATAACGGTCGGGCTGCGGCCGAAACTAATTGGCCCGACGCGCGGCTGGTGGGGATACGCAACGCGTCAAGAATTGAAAACCGACCGAACGGACAGCGAAACCGAAACCGACCGAAATCGACAAGCCGCAAGCAGGCTGGAAGGGCACAACGACGCGGTGACGACAAAATAACCGACCGAACCGAACCGACCGAACGCAACTGACTGTGACGCAGCCGAACTGACCGAACCGCGAACACCCTTGCATCTACATCCCCTCAACGACTCCGAAAAATATGGTTTGCAAAGGGTGTGGTTTGCAACCGGCACCCTGGGGGGCACCCTGGGGGGGCGGGCGGGGACCTCGATAGTTCTCCGCCGCGCCCCGAGGCCCGACGATAACAGAGTCGTGCCCCCCGGCCCCAGCGGCGCCGATCGCAAACCACACCCCAGCGTATCCACACCCTTTGTTAGTCGCCGATCCCCAAATGCTGGCCGCCTGCTCCCAGACGCGATGGGGGGCTGCAATCGGCGCCATCGGCCGGATCGCCGCTGCGCCGTCGATGCGGAGCGATCCTTCGACCCCTCTACTCGGACCCCATCTGGAAGGCCTAGAGCTCAGCGCCTGCCCTCAGGGGGATCAAAGGTCTTCGTCCGCCGCTCCAACAGTGGCCGGGGCGATCTTATTGCCACCGTTCTCTTCCGCGTCCTCGTCGTCGCCGTCCTCCTTCCACAGGCCCTCATCGTCGTTCTGGCCGATCGGGGCGGCGTCGTAGCCCAGCTGATCCGAGTCGGCCGACGGCTTCCACACCCACATGGCGACGACGACCATGGAGGCGACAATTACATGTACAAGGCCGCCATCGGCGAGGTACTGGTATTTCCAAGGAACCGCCAGGGAGCCCAGGCTGTCCAGCAACTGGACGACCGCCACTGGGAAGCTCGCGACGATCGCGACGATAAAGGCGACGGTAAAACGGGAGACCGCCTTCAGCTGGTTTTCCAAATTGCGCTCCTTGAGGCCATTGGAGAGCTTGGCGAGGGACATGAGGATCCAGGCGAAAAGTATGCCGTTGGTGGTCATAGCGCCAAGGGCCGTCATGGTCATGAAATTGGAGGAAATGTGAAAGCTCTGCCGGTGAACCATGGCACCTTCGCGCAAGTAGTTAAAAGAGATCCAGATGAGCCCGAACACGCCAATCTTGGCTACCGTGCATTCCTGCAGAACCTCCTCTGTCATCCTCCAGCCCTGCGAGATCACTAGGATGAGCGTGTATGACGAGTAGGACGAAACCACTGTGAACATTATCGGCAAGCATGCTACAATGCCCGAAGCTTCCCCAGACAAGTTCAGGCTGTAGAGGTGGCCAGTCCAGAACACACACTCCACCACCTTCAGCCCGATCACGAAGCCAACGAGCCCGTGCATGGCGATGAGCCCCTGCCTCCATGTTACGCAAAGCAGACCCCAAATAACCGCCAAGACCGTGTAGACCATCGTACAGTAACTGTAGAAACTCAACTTGTGGTACTGGATGGCGGACATGAAGCCGAATGTATTCCTCACAACGACCTGGCCAATTACCTCGCCCTGAGAGAAGTTTCCACAATTCGACATGAGCAGGAAATATACGCCTGTCTTGTTGATGTCGCTGTGCACG